TATATATATAGATAAATATCTGATAACTAAAGCCATTTTTTAAGTGTCTGAACACTACCGAAGCTGTGAGCTGCGTCAGTCCCAGGTTTATAACCAGTGGCTATACCAGAGGAGTCAATATTTGTACAGAAGTTTGAAATGGCTCTTTGACATTGCCAGACCTCCTCCTTGCCATGAGTGAGCCTCGCTGCGGTGACTGAGCTTACTTACATGACCCAGGCCTGCTTGGTAGTCAAGTTTTGTGGGAGGCCTTTTAGAAGGGCAAGTGCAAGTGGTGTGTGCATTTTAATGGGAGTGAAAGACCAGACCCTGAGAGTTCTAAGCAGTGAAGTATTCGTTTGAGTCCGATTTTTATTGAAGAACCAGAGAGTCTGGTGGCAAATCCTGTTGTATGTTATGTATCATGTCCACTAAAAGGCATCTGACCATTGTGTTTATTACACTTGCAGATACTGTACTGTATCAGAGTATGCAGAAGCTATATCAGAATAAGTAAGATGAGTGGACTGCTGAAAAGTAGAAATGTAGGGAGGATAAAATGAAATTAGGGTTTTTTTGACAAAAGAAGGTTTTGCTTGGAAGGAATAATCTGAAACTTAAGTACCCATTGGAAAGAGTAAGCCTGTGAAGCAGCAGTGACTGAAAGACAAGGACCTTACAGGATGTGAATCGTTCACAATTTACTTAATCCTGAATTTGCAATGCAAGTGACAAGAATGGAGAGTTAGTAATGTGCTGGGCCATGTGAACAAAACTGGCCCTTGTATAATTGCTTTAGGAAACCTTCTTGCAGAGCCCCTTAGGAAACTCTCAGAAAAGCATCAATTACTGGGATTCTAAGCCCCAGCAAAAGCTATCCTAAATTCTGTTGACTGTTGAGCAGGAGAGGAGGATGTAGATCTGTACAACCTGTGCAAGAAAAGGGAGATGTTGTTAATGCTTACCAGTAACAGAGAAGTCAAACATTAGAGCAGGCAAAGAATTGTCTGGGATGATGAAAGTGTTAGCTATTTCTGCCTGCCTCATTTAGGCATGACTGCATTCTGTACCACACCCGGCTCACTGTTAGTCCTGATAACAGCACGACCTTACTGTCGCACAGCTGCTCCTCTTCTGTGCCTCGTTTCACTCATGTCGAGTGCATCATAAGAGTGTAAAACGAGGCTGGGAGGGGTGCAGAGGATTGTGTATTCCATTTCCCTTCCCAGTTCTAGCAAAGAGATTTTAGCCAATGTTTTCTGTGCTTGGGGTTTTTTTTTCCTAAATGCTGCTAGTGGAAGATTGTAATTGTTGAACATTGGAGATGCTGGAGACTTTGGGCTTTGCTAAACCCTCTCAGTGCCTGGAACAGTGTGACTCAATCTCTCCAGGTCTCTGAACACTATCATAACAATAAAGTAGAAGACAGAACAGGAAATACTGAGTGAAATTTAAGAAAAGGTATATACTAGAAGAAAGCCTGTGACAGGAATTTCTTCTAGGCAATGGGGGAACTGTTCTGGGGAGGCAGAGGGCATGCACTGGGAAGCTTAGAACCATTGTAGATAAAGCAGGAGTGCGTGCTTGTAGGCAGTGATTTTGGTCTGACTGTTAATTATCTACATTTTGGCTTTTGAGCCTTTAACACACAGGATGATGCTGTCTTGTAATTAAGTTAAAAGCTATCAGAATCAGATTTTCAGTGCTTAGAAGACTGTGTTGGATGAGTTGCGCCTTTCTATTTCAGTATTACTACTGCAGACCTTTATCCTGTCAGATCGTAGACAGTAAATGTCTCCAGAAAGGTGGAGACATTTGGTGACTTGTATCTCTTTCCATTTACCCAGAACGTGAAAAATAACAATGCTGGCACTGATTTCACAGGGGTTGGTGACTCCCTTTAGATGGAAAAGTGAATGTTTCTGCTTAGTCCTATTTATCTTTTCTTTATTCTTCTCCTTCTTCTCCCTAGTCATGGCTGCAGGACACGTGCAGGAGTTCGCGTGCTTCACAGACTATGACAAGGAGCTGGTTTGTCACTGGAAGGTGCCTGCACACATGAATTGCTCCACAGAATTCCTCCTCTACTACAGGAAGGAATTTTTTTCTCTGCCGTAAGTATTTAATAAGATGTTACCAGTGTTGAAATTTCATCTATCCTGTAGCTGGTACTGGCTTTGATCCCCTCTCTTTACCATGAGTGCCTGAGACAAAATGTAATCCAGATAGTTATTCGTGCCAGAAGGAAGAGGAGTTGCAGCACACTGTTCTGTGGTCTATTCTTCTGCAGACCTCTGCATGCTTAGGATAGAGAAGTGAACAAGTCCCACTTGTAGCGGTGGTGGGGCTCTCCTAAGTTTACCCAACCTTCATTTCATGCAAAATGTTACCTCCTTCAGGAGAAAGCTGACCTGATTCCCCATCCGTAGCCTGTGCAAAGGGTACTCTCCCCTGCAGGCCAGGTGATTATCTCTGCTCACAGCCTAACTCCGTGTTCGAACACAGGCTGTTGTCCCTGTTCTGCAGCAGGGCCAGTTGTCATCTCCTACAAAGGAAAATGCATTTGTGCTCTCCTGTTCCTCGCCGTGTGATTTCTCCACACAGACATCCAAATAACCTCACTGTGTGCATCCTAGTAAACCAGCTCCTATGCTAGCAAGCTGTCGGTCTGCTCCTTCAGAGGCTGGAGTGTGATGAAAGGTTTTAATTTTCCCTGTTGGGATCAGTCCTCAGCCTTTCTGTCAGGTTTTATTTGTGCAATACAGATACTCGAGGGGCATCTGGGGAGGACAGGTTGTTTGGGGGAGCTCAGTTTTGGTTTGGATTTATTTGGGCTAAACATTTCCAGGAACTGAGCTTGTGTGTCTCAGGTTTGATTAGGTCTACACATTGGGAAGCTTGATTTCACCCTTTCAAGAAATAGTCTGCACAGTCTCTAAACATCACATCATTTTCTGCCTGTTTTCCAGAAACAGTGTGTGTGTCCCCGAGAATGGAAAAGACAGTTTAAGGTGCACTTGCACAATATGTCCGGATTATTTTGTATCAGGCCTCACATATATTCTAGCTCTACAGTACAATGGGACTGATACGTGGAATTACAGTGTTACACCAGCCCTGGTTGGTAAGAAACTGCTTGCTTTGTCACCAGGACATCTGGCTGCAGGCTTTGCGATCCTAGCTAACTCCTCATCTATGTCACTGGAAGGGTTTTCCCTTATCAGAGGTGTAAAGTGTCATGCTGGCTTAAATGCAAACTCCACTTGTCTTAGAAACCTGATTCTGGAGTAGGTTCTTAAGAAAAGGGTCTAAGTAATGAAGCAAGCAGGGAGTGAGTCTTCCTCTAGCAGTACCCTCTCAGCTGCCAGGAAGCAGGAATTTTGGGGCTTAGACATGGCTTTGATGCGTTCTCCCTTGTGGCTGTGGAATTCAAGGATGAAGGGGAATGTGCTGCTTCTAGTTTCTAGGAAGACACTAGGTTATCCCTGCTGAAATTTCTTCCATTCCTGCCTCTGCCACACTGATTTTTTTCATGCAAATTGAATCATCCCCCACAAACAGAGATTTCTACAGCAATTGCTGTTGGATTATAACAACCAGTGAAAAGAAGGTAATGACTCCACTCTTCACAAGACAGAGCACAGATACAGTTCATGTCTCTCTACAGGCACTTTGTTTGTTTGTAGCAGCGTGCTTGTTCATAACACTTGTCACCTCAAACACTCAGAGAATCAGTCACACACCTCAGGCAGGCATTCATCTGCATCGATGCATTCTTCCAGGCTGAGAGCTGCATCCAGCGCACCAAAAGGTTGAACCTGCAGTTTGTTCAGCCAGCTTGAAGAATTAGTGCTTGTTAATGAATACCTTGCAGTTGCTCTTTTTTGGCCTCTACATCCTTATGCTATATAGTGAAAGAGCTTAAATGCATTGACTGTGATGAGATTCTGGTCTCTAGTGAGTGTCTCTGCTTCTCTCCATCAGTGCTTTGCTATTGCCATTCTCCTTAATTGTATTTTTTTAACGTACAGTGAAGCCAAGGGCCCCCAAAAATCTTGCCATTGAGAAAGCTGAAAATGGTAATTTCAATCTGAGCTGGGAGGAGAGCTACGCTCCTCCATCCATGCTCTCTGGACAGCCAGTCATCCATGAAGTGAAATACTGGAGGAAGCAGCACCCGACAGAGGTAAGAGACAGCCAGTCTCTTCGTTTTCTGTCTCTCTGGAGTTTTCGGGTCTAGAAAGTCCTCTGAAAAGTCTTGAAACCTTTTAATGAATAATGGTATTGCCACAGGTCCCATTGCCCTTTAGGGCTTCAAAGGATTGAAACTCTTCTGACTGCCACCCCAAAAGTGCCTGCTGCTCACAGCGGATGGAGCAGAGATTGAAAATACAACACTTCTATTCCCTGAACTTAACTTGCTCCTTAGACATCAGGAGCCTGGAAGCGGCTCATGTCTCCGTGGTGCAGTTGGGGCATTTCAGCCACCTTCCTGAACAACCCAGCACTTTAGGACAAGGCTTCTTCTGGTAGGGGGAGAACGTGCTCGGTGGCGTGTCACAAATGCCACCCACCCATGACAACAAAATGCAGTATCTCACACACCAGATCAGATACACGGTCATTCGTTTGCTCACTTGTGAAGGGCCACTGAAACATGTAGCACTTGTTATTTAATTGCTGTCCCTGACCCTTCACCTCAGAAAGAAACCAAAGGGAAGTTTCTCGCTTCCTTTTCAGGTTTTTGTAAAAGCAATTAACTACCAGGCAAAAAGCTTTGAAATCACTGCAAGCTCCTTGAGGAGAGGCTATGATTACATTGCAAGTGTGAGGTGCAACTATACAGACTACCCAGCCTACTGGAGTGAATGGAGTGAAGAAGTTGAATTTTACTATGGTAAGTATTGTAACAAATACCAGCTGGGTAAAGGGATAGTGCAGTTTTACAAACAAGCCCTCAGCTCTCCTCTCAGAGAAGAGTTATGGAATCAACATCTCCATCCTTTTGAAGGTATTTTGGATATACCTGTAAAGGCTTCCAAATAGACTAAACATAAAAAGGGAAACTAAGGAAGAGAAGACTAAGGGAAGTTGGGTTGCTTAGCCTTGTGGAAAAAAAGGCTGAAAGGGAATGTGTTTATTCTCTATAAATATTTCATGGAGTAGACACCAGGGAAGAAGAGAGATTTTAACTAAAAAACACCACTGACATAAGAGCAAGTGGGTGTGAATGAACAAGACATATTTAGGCTGCAAATTAAGCAATACTTTAACCATCAGAGAGCTGAGGGGTTTGGAAACCTCTGAAGAGCAAGAGAGGACAAGAAGCATAGGTGCACTACAGGGGAGGTGATATTGTTAGGGACTGCGTAAGAGGTTGTCCCTGAGAGCTGGCAAATGGCCTCACAGTACAGAGAGTGTTGGCTTCTGTCACCATAACTGGCTGCAGTATCTGCACTGCTGTGTCAGACATGCCACACACCATCACCACGGGTAGCTGTCTATGTTCTGTTGTTCATCTGCTGGAGAGTTGGTTTTAAATCCTCTGAAGGAGCATTTTTTAAGGCGCAGAAGAGCAGCAATGAATTTCATATTGCCAGTACTTGTATTTAGATGCACATACCCATGTAAATGTACGTGTGTGTTTGACAGAATACCGAGTGACAGCTGAAGACATTCTGCAAATGGCTGTTCCCGTGTCCTGCATCCTGATCATGGCAGTATCTGTCATTTGTTACTTCTGTTTCACCAGGTACGTAGCGTGCTGTCCACGGGTTTCCCCAGAGCACGCTTTGCACGCAGAGCAGTGTTGCTGCCAGTTAGCTGAGTGTCTAGGTCAGGAATCTAAGGGTTTGCTTTTCCTCAGCACCTGTATCTGGCTCTCTACAAGCAGCTGTTTTATAAACATGAAGCAGTTGCACTCTCATTTTCTGAATCGATAACTGAATGTTCTCTTACCAGAATGGGCTTGTTAGAGCATCCAAACAGGCTGAACTTCCAGGGTTTGTCAGGTTTTGATCCATCTTGCTGCAGTTCCAGTAATGACGGTCAAATATCTGTATTTACTTTTAAATTTCTTAGTGTTAATGTGACAGTGGGATCCCATCTGTTTTATACATCAGTTCAAACATGATTAGAAGAACATGTGACACTGGTTTTGCAGAGCAGTCATGCACCAAACGTACAAATATCTCTGCACTAGGTTAATGAAAAGCAGCACTTGAGGATGCACAGAACAAGCACTTCCTCTTGCTGCAGTGCAGATAGCTAAGAGGGAGAGAAGAATGGAAGAGGGAAGCACACATTGATCAAGCCAAAATACAGTCAAAGCAAACAATTTTAATTCTTCCCTTGCAGAGTGAAGAAAGAATGGTGGGATCAAATCCCAAATCCAGCAAAGAGCCATTTGGTCATAAAAAATGTCAAGGTAATTTAAAGGCTTTGCAAAAAATACCTTTTCCTGATCACCAGAAGTAGAATATGTAATAACTGCTATTGTCTGGCTAGTGCAGGGTTTATGAAATATAATTCACATGTATCCTAAATCTCATTTGTATCTTTATTAGTTTTCAGTTTCGTGCTACATTGATGAAATTAAGTTCCCCTTCCACGACTTAAAGCAGAATCATATGGAAAAGCAAATGTAAGTAAAACAAAGGAGGAAAAGAAGCCAAACTGCTTTACAGCATAAAATAGTTCCCTGTTACATAAACATTAACTGTCCTTTCCTTTTGATTTCCAAAAACAGAAGTTGCAAGAACTGTCTGGCTCAAATTTTGTCAAGCCAAAACTTCAAGGGAAAAGATAACGTCAGAAATGTTGAGAAATCCTGTAGTTGCCACAACAAGTCCGGAGACTGGTTTCCAAAAGGCAGCAGTGCAGTTTTAACCCCTGAGACAAGTCTGGTTGAGGAGTCTATAGAAATCTGTGAATGTTTAACAGACATTGAGGTTGAGCACCAGGAAGAGACTTGTGACCATATCGCTGTGTTTGAGCCTTCCGAGAGCAGTGCCAGTGCTTTCAGAGAGCACACTGAACACAATGATGCAATAGCTAGCATGTTTATTAAGCTCCTGGCAGACGAAAACATGCAAGACCATAAAGACCCAGACATCATCACTGGTGAGAATAAAACCTTTGAGAAACGTGAGTCAGAAAATCCATCACAGCAAAATACAAATGAAAGTGCGGGCCAGAACCAGCAGCTGTGTGATGTTTCTCATACAGCCTCCCTTTTCACCAAAGCATCTCAGGATGACTACAATTGTAGTACAGCCAGCAAGAAGTCAGAACAATCAGAAGAATCCTTTGAATCTGGCTATCGCAGCTCCAGCATAAATTCTGCTTCTCTGGATGCAAGAGAACTTCAACATATGGTTCATCAAAGCTTTTTTTCATGGAGTTCTGAAAGCCAGCACGACTTGTGTGACCTGATCCAGGAATCTCCAAGTAAACCATCCTTTGGGACCAAAAAAGACAGAGTAAGCAACCCTGCACACAAGAGTTTTGATACCCTTCTGTCTCCATCCATGGGGCTGTGTAGCTCTGCATATAAGAGCATTGACACCCTTACGTCTCCATCCATGGAGCCCTGTGGTTCTGCCTACAAGAGCATTGACACCCTTATGTCTCCATCCATGGAGCCCTGTGGTTCTGTCTACAAGAGCATTGACACCCTTATGTCTCCATCCATGGAACCCTGTGGTTCTGTCTACAAGAGCATTGACACCCTTATGTCTCCATCCATGGAGCCCTGTGGTTCTGCCTACAAGAGCATTGACACCCTTATGTCTCCATCCATGGAACCCTGTGGTTCTGTCTACAAGAGCATTGACACCCTTATGTCTCCATCCATGGAACCCTGTGGTTCTGTCTACAAGAGCATTGACACCCGTATGTCTCCGTCTATGGCTGACAGTAGCCCGAGTCTGTACTTTGAAAATGTGTGCTCCTCACCACCTCTGACGCAGTTTTCAGACACACCGGAACTGAGCTGCAGAGATCAAATTCATCAGCCCCCTTGCAATCAGACATGTTACCCCACCTACAGATCTCCCTGCACTGAGCTTCATGTCCACCGCACCTCTTCAGAACATAGTGACTTTCTGTCTTTCCCAGCACATGCAAATGGCAGTGCTTCAGCTTTCCTGCCAGAAGAAGAAATACATAAGCAAGTAACATATCGAAATGTTCATAAGAAAACCAATATAATTTCTTGCCCCACTGGACTGCAACCATCTGGTTATCAACCTTTCCATAATGCAGTTAAATGTAATGCATTTAACCATGGCAATGACAGTGAGGTTATCTCTAGGTCACAGTGTGAACCCTTAATTCATCTTTTGTACAACAGCCTGAGAGAAACACCTCCAGAAATGATGATCTGTGACCCTCACCTGAAGACAGATGACCACGTATGTTTGATTGCACAGGGTTTTGATGGCAGAATTGTCCCAGATTTAGTCCTCAGTGAGGATGTTACACAGACCAGTGGTGGCAGCCTTTGGATCATGAACTCTAATGAGCTGTCTAGTGGTAGCAAAGATGAAAATACCAGCAGAGAGGAACTGCTGTTGCATGTGTTAGAGCCAAACTGTCAAGATTTTAACAGCAGAGAAAGAACTACAAAGGGGACAAAGCCTAACAGCTTTAACTGTACTGGTAAAGGAATACAGGAGAGCAGCAGTAACGGACCGAATACTGACTTCCACTGCCACGTGCACAACCACTTGAGGAAGCATGGCAATGCAGGGGAAAGGCAGGAGGTGAGGGAGCCCGTGGTAGGCAGGAGGCGCAGCTCTGCAGCTGCTCTACCTGAACAGTCACTGCCCAGCACTAGGCTGAACTTAGAGGGAAACACTGCAGAGTCCCCAGAGCTCCTGGTCTCAGACAAGTTGTCACCTCCTTTTCCTGTGGTTAACTCCTGTCCTGCTGATTCTCACACCATTCACAGAGGGGGTTCCAGACTGGCACCGGCAGTTAAAAAAAGACCAGTAGAACTATTGAGGGAAAATGGGAAGAATGAGAGAAAAATGAGTGGTGTACGAGGCCTTGTCCAGGACGACGGCTGCTACATGAAGGTTGCCTAGGCACGCTTGCCAGGGCTGCACCAAACCAGTCCCTGGAAATAAACTGTATGGCAGATTGAGATGTTGCTTGTTCTTCCAGTCTTGACTGAAGTGAAGGCTGCTGCAGCTCAGACATGGATTCAGTGGGATGTGATACTCATGCCGGCTGCAGGGCTGGCAACCGGTATGTGATGCAGGCCCCTAGGGACAGTAGGGGTTAGTACCTAACAGTTGCAGCTACAGGTCTGTCTGGGGTGCAAAGCCAGAGCTGAAGCTTCTCTGGCCTTGATTGTTCTCTAAAAGTCATCAGCAGCTGCATAATGTAGGAGTTCTTGGTTCAGCTCCCATGGTTATGGCCCAGCTCCGTGTTGCTTGGGAAGCACACAGAGGTGACGTGGGAGGTGCTGACACTCCTGCAAGTAGGACGTAGGGGGAGCTTCCATAACTTATTTATTGGGGTGAAGGGAGGAGTGAGGTCCTGTGTGCCTAGCCCCATCATGGGGTATTGTTTCTATACTTGCTTAATCAAGACCCAAAATAAAAGATTCCCGCCATTTGAGCTTACACAATGCTGTTACTGATGATTAGATTCTTATTTTGTAGAAGCAAGAAATTATTTCATACTTCTACAGCTGTAAATGGAATCAGATACTTCTAATTGTTGGTTAATTATTCCAAAAGTTTTACTCATGACTCTGCACATTCTAGGGCATTATATATTTTGGTGTGGTACATTCCACCCCAGTCTGCTGGCAGTGGCACAGAACAGTTAAGAACCATTAAGTCACTTTATGTGTACCACAATACGTATGTGTGGTTTTATTAAGGTAGAACCCCCTGCGTGCATTGCCATTCGTAAGGAAGCCATAATGCTGAGCACACAAAGCGGTATAACGTGGTTTGTAAGGTTTTTGTACTGCCAGTCTCGCTTCAAAGTTTGGTTTGGCCAGGTAGGAGAGGTAGCTCCACGTCAGTTTTGCAGCAGTAAAAAAGGGTTTGTAAGCCCTGCGAAGAGGCACACAGCGAAATGTCTGTATTTAGATGTGATAGTTAATATTTAGTTAATACAGTTAATTATAGGCACTGGTTTGTGGGTCACTTTCACTAAGGTGGTGACTGGTGAAAGATCTTGCTGCTTGTAGCTAAGGTGTTGGTGAACACGTTATTTATTTGTTTTTACTGAAAATGTCAGGTTGGGGTTTATTTTCACTCAAGTGAGGTTTATTTCTACCAGAAATACTCTTTCTTTGCACAAGGGCAGTCACTGCTGCACTTAACATGAGCACAAGCTCTGTGAAGTGGGAGGGGTGTGAGGCAGACAGATGAAGAGGCTTTCCAGGACCCGTCAACCAAACCCGCACTGAAACAGGGGAACAGGAAGATGCACAGAGGCCATGGTCTGCCTCATGAGTAAGTCTCACTTACGTAAGTCCAAGCAAAGTAAAGCTGAAGCAAAATCCCACAGCTCGTCACTGCAGCTGCCCAGGACTGTTTGCTGTGGTAGCACAGGGCTGGTAAGGGAGGCACAGGGACACCAGTGGTGCTTTCTTCCCCTTCTGCTCCTGCACCCTACCTTGTGCTCTTTGTGAAACCCTCCTGGAAGGCTTGCACTTGGCTGAAGCAGTTTCATCCTGCTTTTCCCTGGCTTTGTCTTCTGTGTAGCTGTGACCTCTCTTGGATGGCTTTCTGTGCGTGGGTATTCTTCCCTTTCTCTCCCTTCAGTATTTCTCTGGTGAAGTCGAACTGTAACTCTTCAAGAAGGGGCATCCCTATTCCTGTGCCTTTGCACAACCCAGAACTGGTGATGGATGCTGGGGCGGGTGGCTGGCTCGGCCTGTGCTGCGATAGGCATGGCTGTGTCTGCAGCTCATGCTCCATCCTCCAGTGCCTCCACGTCTGCCGCCCAGAGCGGTTGCGACGCTATAAAACGCAGGGAGGTTTCAGTGATGGGTTTCCAGCCTCAGATGTTCTGACCAAAGCATGGGGGGTTGTGGCTTGGGCTGGCCTCAGGCTGCCAGCGGGGCGCACTGCTCTGAGCCACAGCTGGGGACAGCCTGTGCTTGCGGAGCAGATCACCCTCCCGAGAAAGGCGCTTTGTTCCTGGAGGTTGGGACCCTCCAAGTGTGGCCCTTTTAGCTAGCGCAGGGCTCCTGCCAGAACACAGAATTACTGGTCACAGTAAGTGTATTCTCTGTTTTCCAGTGTGTGTTATAAGACTGCAGTGCAAGTGGAGGCTAGTGCCAAGTTTTAGCCTAGTTATAAAGCCCTTCATTATTCTCACCATCATTCCACCTCCACATCTTTTACCTGGCGGCCTACCAGGTATTAGCGACCTGACTCACCACGAGTGAACTGGGTTCCTGAGAAAAGCAGGTGTATTCCCAGTTCGGGGGAAGCCAGTTCTGATACGCTGCTTTTCCTTTGCTGAGAATGCCACAGCCTCGCCTTTTCTTCTTTCTGAACAGTGTTGGCTCCTCGGAAATACACACCTATGTGGAACAGCTGTTGGCAAACTCTTGTCAATCACAAGGCTTGTCATTGCCTGTGGAAACTAACCCTAACTGCAAGAAGAGGGTGAGACTGGTGTGGACCAGGAGTTTGAGGTTGTGAGGTCAAGTTCTTGGGGGTAGGAGCAAGTTAATTTAGGATAAAGGAGGGGCCAGCTTTTTAAATAGCTTGCCTCTGTACATTGCTTTGGGAGCCTGCACTGTTCAGGCAGGATGCAAGCACTTTCCCATCGTGAGCTACAAACTTTTATCTAAGAAAACAAGTTCTTTTAGGTGTTGCGTTATAGCAGTGACATAGCAGAGGAGCAAAGGGTGAGAGAGCTAAGTGAGGGGGTTGTGATTTCCAGAATCCTGCTTTTTCCTATGACTGGAATCGTGTGACTCCTTAGTGAATAGAGACTGAGAGGACAGTTTGCTTTCTCCTAGCCATGTCTTTTCTGTAGCAATCTCCTTAGGGAGCATGATGTATGCAGCCTGCGGCCTAGCTCTGACAGAGATGTGTAATTCTGCATACAGTTGCTTTCACAAAGAATAGGTGGTTTTGACTAGTTCTCCGGGGAGCTGTGCCCAT